CCAGAGGTTGCAGATTTGCGCTTCGAAGAGGCTCTAGGTGACGCAGAGATGGCGAATTAACACATGCACATTAGCGGCGAACAACATTGGTAGAGCACTTACGGCTTCAGTATAGCCCAGATTGATCTGACTGTATGTCGTCGATCCAGTGAGGCTCTAGAGGCGAGTCAACCATGAAAAAAAATGTTAAAAATTAATTAACGTCAAAGTGACACTGCCAAAGTCAAAGCAATCATGGATTAGGCATTTCATTTTAAATTTAGATAATATCAAGTAGTACAGGGTATTAGTATTTTGGGTTGCGTAAAAATAATTTTCAGAAGTAATTCTCTCGTGACTAACCCTGTATATATGTAGGTTATGTAATGTTAAAGTAAATGTAAAGAAACGCGCTTCGCGCATATTTCAAATGAGTTTCTACTTTACAAAATTTTGTGATGACGTTATCAATTTTTTTGAGGGGATAAACAGTTATATTTTAATTAACAATCTACCATGCTTACAATAACTTTAAACCATCTGCAAGATTGCAAACCATTCGGATAAATAACAAGTATAGGGTCATCAATAGTCATCATATTTTACACATTTTGGATGTGATTTATTCGTCGTCAGGTGACGTCATCAGTCGTTTGGGACGAATAAACAGATATGTACTAGAGCAGGTTTCATCACGAAAGGGTACAGCTGGTGGGAGTGCGCAGAACATTGTTTTGGTTTGGCCTTACAAATATCGTGAAAGCAGTGGCAGCGGCGATGAATATTTCGACTTTAAAATATCAAAATATTATTGGTATTGTAATATCCCGCTTTAAACGGCGGCAGGTTTGGGTTATTACAGAATTAATAAAAATATTAATTTTCTATTTTATTAACGTTGACATTATAGAAAATGAATTTAAAGGTTTGTTGATGCTTTATTATGATATATGAGTTGAATAAAAAAAGTAAGTAAAAGAAGTAAAAAGGTAACTTTTAGTAAGCAATAACAACTGTTAAATTACGGTACAGTGTACAGTCAAAGCTCTATAAACGACAAATATGCTAAAATATGTACTGTGATTATTACTTCGGGGTTAAAGATGGATTTATATAGTTATTCCACATACGCAAACGGGCCCGGATGACGCAACGGAAGAAAGTTCAACATCAGGCTTAAGCCTTATTATAATCCGACTTTACGGTATTGACAAATTGTGCCAGAAAATTAAAAACCATGTAACTACAGTCATAGGTTGCTAATTCTCAGAATTTTATCCCCGCTTTTATCTAAAGATTTAACTGTTTGATTTAAGACTAGCCGACTATAAAATAGCGTATGATACTGCGGGGTTCGTGAAATTTTTTACTCATGCTATAATCCCTCACATTATAAACTCGTTTAGTAGGAATTAAAAGTACCAATTTTTTTGTGATACATTATAATAATTTATTGTTACGTAAGCCTATTTTTTTTACCAAACAAATAAATTTATTTTTATTAAATGGTTGTCTGTATTCTTTTCTAGAAATTGCTCTATTTTTAATTGTTTTTGAAAGAAATATAACTCAGTCGACGCCGAGCCTCCCTTCTCAATACATCGATGTTACTTCACTGCTAGCCCGACTACAAGTCGCGCAACTTAATCCCCGCCCCTGTACCCTTTCGTGGTGAAATTACTTCTACGAGTGTATGTTCAATTTTAAAAAACACAAATCAATATCACAATACATACTGTGGTCACAGTCAATGCTGTGGTCAATGTATTGAAAGTATGCAACCAATGTTACATCCAGCCTTCGGGATGTTTGCTAAAAGAAAACTGTCGGATTTTTAATTTTGCCGTGTTATTGTCTTCACAATAAGTTTGCGTGTAGAAAAATAAAGACGAGAAGTAGTGGTAAGCTGGTTGAAACTCAGGAAAGCTGAGGTGTAATTTATGACACCCATAATCTCTGGTAACAGTTCGGCACCCGCTTGTCGTGTAGTATTGTTCGATTTTCGTTCGTCAACAGTTCAATTTTCATATACGAATTTATAAAAATGACCACAAGAAATTAATAAGAAATAAAAATCTGAATGTGTACAAAAATGAACTTCGAAAAATTAAGACAACAAATAGTAAGTCCAAGCAATTATAATCTAATTGGGAAACTGATTGATTTAAAACAAAAAAAGCACTCACTTGCGCAACACTTAAAAAGATTTGTGGCAAGTAAAACAAAATCAATTTTAAGTGTCCAAATGGTTCTACTGAGTGTGTCCCTATACTGAAATGCAACGAGAAAATCACCAATTTCTGCATCAGTACGTACCTATATGTCATGATGCAAATTATAAAATAAACTAGAGACCAATAATTTGTTTCGTTTTTATTTATAAATATACCCAATTGTTTTACTTAAAACTAAGTACTTCAATTATTTGGTTTACATATTTCAATTATAACTGGTTCCCTAGCTGGTTAGTATAGGCTAAGTTCAAACTAAAGAGGTATAGAAACTACCTGTGTATACTGAATGGTTATCCGGCTAATTATAAGGTTTATGGTAATCTTTTATTCAACAAAATAAAATTCTTTCAGGTAATACACTTTGATCTTTTACGAAAAGCCGAGAAGCAATAGGATTGGTGATTATATAAAGTAACAATAATAAAATTTCTATTAGTAACATTGACTTACACTTTATGTAAGTGTATAAAAACAGCGGCGGGTCTAAAAAACAATAATATTTATATGTACAGAAATTAGGAAATAAAAGCATAATAATAGTAAAACTACTCAAATGATGATTAAACTGCATTTTTTGTCTGTAGTTTTAGTAGGTTTTTGACATAACAATACTGATAAAAGTTTTTTCGACTTTTTCGTGGCTTTGAAAGTGGAATCTTCGACTTTCGTCCCATTTCAAAATTTACTCTTTATATATTTCAATGGTCACAACGAGTTCACTAACTACACTGAAGTAAATTTCTGCAAAGATTAAATTTGTCACCGAAAAGATGTCGGAAGTAATAAATTATCCCATCGGTCCAAGAACGTTCGGTGGGTGTTATACCCCGATCCGAGAGAGACCGCAGTAAGAGACAGCAAATGGGACGGATAAAATAAAGCTTCAAACATGATCAGTTTTAAATCAAAATTATGAAGTTTTACAAATCGAGCATTTTTTTTTTCTGTTTGAAATATCATAGTAAACACTTTGACTTACTTTAATGTGAATTTTATAACTATGGTCGGCACAGTCGGACCCACGGTTGTAGAATAGATAGGTTTGTACACTAATGGCTTGGGATGGCGACGCTTCTTTTCGATCCCTATATCCATGGAAAGGACACATACAGCTAGCGCCTCTACCTTGTCGAGCGGAAATCATTCTAGTTATTTTGGGGATTTTCGTTTACATTGCTTTATGAACAATGCAAAATTTGTAAATGACATTTGATCGGAGTCGATAAGTACGATTTCTTTTATTAATTACATCGGTTATAGACAGATGCCTATAGAGTTCTGTGTCCCTAAAACGTCAAAAACCAGGCGACGCGATCGGCAATTGGCGTCGCTGACCAGGGATATGCAAATGTATGCTAGTGTATCAACCTATCTATTCTACAACCGTGGTCGGACCTAATATTAGTGTGATTTTGAGCATATTTGCGATTTTATTAGAGCAAAACAGGTAATTTTTTCTCCAATTTTATAAGTTCCGGACACTAATAGCATATCAAAGATATTGTAAAAAAAAAATTGGGTTCAGATTCAACGCCACCTAGAAACAAGGCCTTGCCACTAAAGAATTGATCTGTCAAGATGGCGTCAATAGTAGGTTTCTAGACAGCGTCAACCCATCGCCGTCAAGCTGCAGCTGCGCAAAAGCAAGATTTTTGAATTTGAAATTGTGGTATATTTTTATTGTATTTGTTTTCTTTTGTGAATAATTGTTTTTCGTTTTGTGTTTTTGTGTATTTGATTTGTTACTCGTTGTAATTTTAAGTGAACAATGCCTTTTAAGTGTTGTGTCAATCAGTGTAAAGACCAGAAAACGTTGTTTTCCTTTCCAAAAGAGGAAAGTCGGAAAAACGAATGGCTACACCGATTAGGCCGTAAGGATTTGCTGAATAAAAATATTAAAAATTATAGGGTACGGTACAAGAGAAGCGTTAATATAAACTTACAAATGATCAAATGGAATATTTATTATTATTAGGTATGTGAACTTCATTTTCAAGAAGGGGATGTAAAAAGAAGTGAAGAAGTTTATAGTGAGGAAACCGGCCAGTTAATGGCAGTACCCTTAGATCGCCCTCGTTTAAGAAAAGGTGAGTTTTCGATAAAACTTTCCATAACCAAAATTTTCCAAAATCCATTTTCTGCTCTTAGAACCAACCTAATCTCAAACGTTCATCTATTCCTCAATATTTCCTTATTTCTAGATGTAACACCTATTTCCCTCCCTTCAAGATCATCCTTTCAAAAAATTCCTCCAAAAAGAATTTCTCCAGAGAGAAAACGACAGAGGCTGGAATGCGAAATGCTACAGTCAGCAATCGCAACCAGCATTGCCTCTGAAGAAATATATTGGAAGGAGAGAACCTTTTCCAATATTGCTGATGTGACTAATTTTTTGACAAAACATCCCCTATCAGATTGGACCGCCTCATTTAAGCCCGAAGCAATTTTTCTGTTTTTCATTTTGGAAGATGCTAATTCTTCCGAGTTAAAGTGTGGCTTGAAAATTTCAAACGAATTGAAATTAATATTATTACATGGTAGTGTTGAAAGCAGCATTTTAAATTTTTTCTCGCCTTTGACCAATGCAGTTCAGTTAGAAAATGGACTAAAGGAAATTGCAAAATCATTGACTGACCCAATAGATAAGGGTGTTGATGAAAAACTGAACTTAGTTAATAAAACATTAAATAGTTTGTTGTCTGAATTGCCACCAGAGACACACAATACAATAAAATTCATAACTGATCAAGTGAATTTATTGAAAACTTCAAAAAACCGACACAGATATTCATGGGAAACTGTTTTATTTTCTAGTTTAATACACTCAATTTCGCCACATTGTTATAAGTTTATACAAAATTCAGGAAATTTAATACTTCCATCTTCAACAACAATAAGAAGAGTTTGTTCAAAATTTTCTGGAGATCCACAATTAGAACAGCACAATGCCCACTTTCTTCATTATATAAAAATGAAACAGCAATTCCTAAATGAAAATGACAAAATTGTTGCAATATTATTGGATGAAATCCATATCAAACCATATATGGACTACAAAGGTGGTACTGTTGTGGGGAAGTCTTACAACAGCGCAGATTGTGCTACTACTGCTCACGTTTTCATGTTAAGTGCAATACGATCAAGTTATAAAGATGTTGCACATATTTTACCAGCGTGTAGATTGACGGCCGAAGTTTTGCATGGTTTTCTACAAAAAATTATATTAGAATTAGAAAACATGGGCTTTAAAGTAGTAACTGTGGTCACTGATAACAACGCCATAAACAGGAAGGCAATGAGTTTCTTTTCAAATCCACCACAAATTTGTGAGAGCTATAAACACCCTGCAGATAATGACCGACCACTTTTTTTCATTATTGACACAGTGCACATTTTGAAAAACATCCGGAACAATTGGCTGAACCAAAAAAATGGCCAAATAATGGTATATCCCGATTTTGATGACTTTTCCATAAAAAGGGAAGCACGGTTTGAGGCAGTAAGAACTTTACATCTGGTAGAAAAAGATAATCTGCTCAAGTATGGTTATACACTGTCCTTGAAGGCACTTTTTCCCACTACGATTGAGAGACAAAATGTAAAACTTGTTCTTCAGGTGTTCAACCAATCGATCGTAACAGCTCTCAGACAGTTTGGGCCTAGAAAAAATTTGATAAGTTTTGAAGACACTGCCATTTATCTACAAATTTTTTGTCAATGGTGGGATATTGTCAACACAAAAACTTTATTAAAGGGCAAAAGATCTAGAAACATCTTCCAAGAACCATTGACAAAAAACTCAACCCAAATTTATGAGTTCTTAAATAAATTTACATTGTGGCTGGATCACTGGAAAACGTTTGAAGATGGCAAATTAACAAAAGAAACCCATCATGCCATATCTCAATCTGTGTCTGGACTGATCAAACTTTCAGAATATTGTCTACATCATCTAGATTTTAATTTCTTCCTTTGTGGAAAAATTCAAACTGATAAGTTGGAGGAGCGGTTTGGAAAATACAGACAATATTCAGGAAGCCACTATCAAATTAGTCTTCGGCAAGTGCTGGAAAATGAGAAGAAAATTAGGATGCAAAGTCTTGCACCTTTGTTAATTAAATCAGAGAACGTTCACCTGCAAATCTCTGCACAAGATGTACTCAACTCTAGTACCAGTGCTGACGATAACGATATTAAAGGCTATGATAGTTCTGCTTTTTTCTTTGAAGCTCTTGTGAACAACAGCGACTTAGATGAAATTCCAGATTCTACTTGGCCCATTCTAACATTTATTGCGGGCTATGCTTCTTACGTCGCTAAAAAGAAATTTACTTGTGGTTACTGTGAGGAATTTTTAATTACCAATAATAATAGACTACCTTTTGAAAACCTAGACTACAGCTTAATTGATGTCAGCGATAGAGGTGGTTTATGTTATCCCACAGAAGATGTTGTGACGATTTGTGCATACACCTACAAAACCGTGGAAAAACTTTTAGCGAACGAAGAACTTTTTTTGTCTGAAATAAATCAAAAACAATTTGTTCGAAATGTGACATTTGAAAACATGTCAGATACTGACTTTTTTTTGGGGCACAACTGTCAAAAACACGATACATTTGCTATAAAAAAGATTATAATCAGTTGCACGACCAACATTTTGCTAAACAATTACTGCAAAAACAAAAATAATGTAAATATAAAGACACAACTAACCTCTTTGAAGAGAGGTAAAAGACATTAACAACATCAGATTTTGCCGAACTATTTGCTGCAACTCCAATTATCCGGTAATTTTATGTCATTTGAAGCGTATAATCTAAATAAATACTTTTCTATTTCTTGCAGTAACATTTTATGCGGCTTCGACGTCGAATTTTCCAAACGTAAACAAACCTTCTATTTCCGCCATCTTGTTTCTGCGCACAGGCCTTGTTTCTAGGTGGTGTTGTCAGATTCCAACTAGTTGTCTAGTATTTGTGAAACAAAATCTACTGTAAATTCACTGAAAACTAAACCGATAACATCACCTTAAAAAGTAAATGTTAACTTGTTTCAAAATAATTATTGTTGTAAAATAGTACACAAAAATATAAACACCACAAATCAAATAGAACAAATTATGTTTTGACTGAATACAAGAAGTTAAATTTAATATCATCTTATGTTATGCAGAAGAAAACCTAATATGTTCATTAACTTCATTCCAACTACTCTGGAATTTCTTGTTCTACAAAAGTACAAAACCAGGTGTGACAGGTGTATTTTTTACGCACCTAACATTGGTTACATACGTACTTTCAATGGATGAGCTGTGTTTTTTAAAACTGAAAGTGAGCGTAAAGCCATGGAGGAAAGGGTAAAATTTTACAAAGGGCACTTCACGATTTCGCACAAACTGTTTGCACACAACTCTTCTACAGCACCTCCTGAACACGTTCCTCACCTTCGAATGTTGTGGAAATGCTTACTTTTGCCACAAAAAATTGTTAAATTTCCCATTTGTACACTCTTCAATGGGAAGCCGTTTCCAATCGGTCAATGCGTTTCCATTTCCAACATAACCTAACTTTTTATAGTCAACAACACGCGTACGTGTAATGTCGGGTTTTTAGTGAAAGCAGGGCGCTTCGCGCCCTGCACCCCATTACAAACATACCCCTAAACGTGGCACTTCTTGCTCCGTGGATCATTTAGTCATTGGAAATATTGGAATTAGAGATGTGTCGTTCGCGAACGAACGAATCAAATTGAACGGGTCGTTCGAATGAACATTGTGACCGAAATCGTTCCCAACGCAAACTAGTCGTTCTTTCGTTCATTTCGTTCACTCGTTCACTCGTTCACCGTTCACATTGTCTCGACTGGATCTTGGTTTCGTTGGATCTTTGAATCATGGCATCAGCACAGTTCTATGTTCTGTATCCAATACTAGGAGCACATGCTATGCTATTTATGGAATTAACTAAGAACGTAAGTTTTCCAGACAGATTAATTCCAGTAGTATGAATTTAAATTAGGAACCGGGAACAAAAATGACAATTTATGACGATAACTTATATACAATGTTCATAAACGACTGAACATTAGAAACTAAATAAATAAATAAATGTAAATTAAGAATTATTATTACTATTGTAATGATTATTAATAAAAAAAAATCCGTGTTATTTTTTTAGAATACAGGATTGTGTGACGTCAGATTAAATCGTTTTAAATATGCTACGACCTGATTAATTAAGAATATTTAACATTTAACGTTCATTTGTTTTTGTCTATGACATTCAACTTTTTTTTTAATACACCGTATACATTGTTTAGAGATTCTTCTAGGTTTTTTTTAATTCTTTGATTTAGCATATGCCATATTTTACTCAAAAGTTGCTTGGAAGCTGTGATAAAAACGAATTTAATTTACTGTGTCAAAAGTGCTATTGATGTATTTATTAACACAATTATTTGCGTCCACAAATTCAAGTTACTTTTTTTAAATATTAAATTATTATTTATACATCACAGAATTCAGAAAAAAATCGTTACATGAATCTCTAAGAAAATGGGAGGCATTAAAAAAAATTAAATGTAGACAAAACCAAATAAACGTTAAATCATTAATTTTTCGAATCAGATCATAGTATATTTCAAACGATTTAATTTGACGTATCACACAATGCAGTATTCGAAAAAAAAAGACAGCAATGGGCCGGTTTTTTTTTCCGAATACCTATGCGATAGTTCTGAGCATGACCTTCCCTATAAAGTGATCAGATTCAAGCAAAAGGGAAACTAAGACCATTGACCGAAGAGCCGAAAGACCGAATGATTCATCAATAGATCCCTGAGCCTTGAATGATTAAGAACGAAGTGAACGGTGAACGAAGTGAACGAAATGAACGAAATGAACGAAATGAACGACATTTGACGACCGGGTCTTCGTAAGGACCGAACGATGAACGATCCGTTCGTAGTGAGTGATGACCGAATCTGCCCATCCAATTTGGAATTTCTGCAAGTTCAACGTGTTGGTTCAACTATGTGTATAGTTGGTTGCCTACATGTGGCGTAACTAATAGGGTGCAAACCATAAGGCGAACACTAAATATTTTTTTCTGACACAACTTTTGAACGTAAGCAACGTGATTAGGGGGTGATGTAGAAGAGTTTTGCGCAAACAGTTTGTGCGAAATCGTGAAGTGCCCTTTGTAAAATTTCAACAAAAAATGTCCCAGTTGATACAAATACACCAACCTGTACGCTTGGAATGCTTGCCATTTGCCAGTCCTTACCTTAAGGGGGCCCCCAAACTAATATGTAATGACAGTATTACATACATTATACCCAATTTCATGATTTTCTTTATTAGCTAATAAAGCGCACTTGAAAATTGTGTTGTGCTGTTGTGTCATTTTGTCGTGTGATTATTGTGCCGTCTGGCGTCTGTCAAAAATCAGTGTAGTCAGTTGTCAAAACTATAACCCCAAATAGTAAATATTTCTTTTTCTGTTTTTAATTTTTTACGTCAAGTATAGAAGCTTGGAACTCCGATTTACTTTTTAATGACAATGTATTACATAGTAATAAGAGAATCTCAACAAAATGATATGCCCTTTATTTCTGAACTGGTTAGAAAAGCATATCTCTCAAATGTATCGAAAGCTTTTGTAGCAGCTCTTTTTAACGAAGTGAGTGTAAATGAAGATTTATGTAAGTTACTAATGAAAGTTGTTGTAGGTAACGTTTCAAGCTATTGTTTTATTAGCAGCCTTTATGTTTATTTTTATGGGAGTTCCTCTTCAGTATTGCTTGTTTTCAATACCGATAGTTTTGATTATGCTGTACATTTTAATTTATGGCACTATTTTAATGAAAGCAGCAGAATCAACACATAGTAAAAGGTCTTTGCAGTGTTGGGTGGCTGAAGCGTATGAACCATTTTTTTTTTCTGATACACCACAAAATTGTTTCTACAGAGTTGTTCCGGAAGAAAAAGTCGGCGATGAAGGAATAAATGTTGGAAATTATAGAAAAACTGTAAGTTTATTTATGAACTATTACATTCATCTATCACATAGTACTCAAGGGTATTGGTTTTATTGTTATTTTTACACCACTGATCAAATTTCTTAACAAAATTACAATTCCAGGGATTTCCTGATAACCTAACATACTTCGTTGATTTCAAATGGTTAAGAATGCTGTTGCTTAGAGTAGTGAGATTGTTATTTTCGAAATTAACGTCTTCAATGTAACTTATTGCATCAAAAACATTGGAGTTTATTTGCTCCAAAACGTTATTTTGTAGATATAAGTTTTTGATATTGTAAATGCCTTCCAGAGATTTCTCATTTAAGTAGGTGAGTAGGTTATCACTTAAATCAATGTATGAGTCTTGTCCAGTTATAATATTGACAAATCCATGTAAAAAACATTCATGAGGTATTCTTTCTAATTTGTTGAAACTAAAATTTACTTGCCTTAAAAATGTTGTACCTTTGAACATGTGAGAGTGAAGATTTTTAAGTCTGTTTTGACTTAAATCAAGAACTTCTAAATATTTTATATCATGGAAAGCATCTTTCTCAAATGATTCAATTGCATTACAAGCTAAGTATAGCCTTGTAATACTTAGATCTTTGAATGTATCTCTATGTATGGTTCTCAAAACATTATGGTTCAAGTTGAGCACTTGTAGATTTGGAAGATTGTTAAATGTACCGTCTTGAATGTCTTCTAAACCACAGTCTTGAATTTTGAGTATTTTCAGTTGCAAGAGATCGTTGAAAGTTCCTTCTTTTAGAGTCGTGAGATTTTGACCTTCAATTGAAATTTCAGTTGCTTCAGTTTCATGATTTATCTCATCGGCAAATGATACTAAAATTGTTCTGTTGCTTTTGTAAATTTTAATGTCGATGTAGTTAAAGTGTTGGCATTGTATTTGATTTAACGTTATAACAACTATTAACTGAACTGCGCTGGACTGCCATATATGCTTCATTTTGCTTTCACACAATTTCTACTAATTGTGAGAGAGATTATTTTTATCAATGTAATGATGTTTTTGTTTTTATTTGTAGATAGTGGGTACTTGTGCTGTGATGAAACACAATTTATCTGAAGAATGGTCGTGGTTATTTAGGTTAGCAGTGGATGTACGGTATTTAACGATGATATGTAAAACTACAACCCTCCAACTACATGTTTACATTTTAGATATCGTAAGAAAGGTATAGGATTATTATTAACTCAAACTGCGCAGAATTGGAGTAGAATTAATAGATTTAATTATATGGAGCTAGTCATCACGGAATGCCAAGAAGAAGCTAGACAGTTATTTGCGAATGCAGGGTAATATATTTAAAATTCATTTCAATTCAATAAAAGACATTAAAAAAAATAATTGTGTGCAAGTTGTTTATTTAGTGCATTTTTTTTTTTTTTAGATTTGATATCAAACAGATGTATCACAAAAGATTATTTACAAGTGTATTCACTATGCAAATGTTTCAACTTAGATCTGAAGTCAGATCTACATATTAAGTTCTGGTAATTATGTGATTTTTTCTATTTTTATAAAGTGATTTTTAATGTCTTGTGTTTTTGTTTTTCCTCCAGCAGATAATGGAATTTTGACGTGATCAATTGCGTCATGTAACAGTAACATAACAGGGTCATCAAAATTGATTGAGAGAGTTTGTGAACCTGAACTTGAATAAATTTGGTTTATTAATTAGTTGTATAAAAATATTAACTGCTAGATTTGAAGTTTCAAGTTTCAAATTTCAAAACTCAGTGGCGTCTTTTTTTCGATTTTTTTTTTTTGGGAAAAAATATTAGTTGTCAGATTTGAAGTTTGGAATTTAAGATTTGTTCGCAAAGATGCGAGTAGCAACAAGGTAGGTATAGTGTGCGCATCGACCAAAGCGATTCGTACAAACGTTAAAACCGTTCGCAACTTTGCAAGTAGGTAACTTTCGTACCCGCAACTAATTCAGGTAAGTTCGACTATCAACCCCTAGTTTTCTTGTCACGCCACTGAATTCATTGCCACATAATCTTAAACAAATCTGTCATAAGGTTGACAAACTTCACGGCAAAAACAAGGAGTACCAACTTTCTCAATCAATTTTGATGACTGTACATATTTTAACATTGATACATAGCAATGGTAATCTTGATTTAAAAATACGCATTAATTTCTTGAAGAAGTTGGATCTATTAATCTTCTCTTATTGCATAATAATGAAGCATGAACAATTTAACAATTTTTATCTACAACTGCTTTATAAAGGCCTTATTACACAACTCATTCGGCACTGTTTGAGTTGAGTAATAAACCCTCTTATTCCACTAGTGGTGTAATAGAAAGATTACACCACTAGTGGTGTAATGAAGGTCTCCACTTCTTAGTTGAATTTTATTAACATGTAAATTACAACAAATTACATTGATTAATTCTTAACTTATTTGCTATACACGTCGATAATGCATTTCTTACAATTACTGATATTAATACCAGATGAAATGAAATTATTTGTGTCTTTGTCCATAATGCTTAGGTTTTGTTAACAAAATGTTTGTTACAGCTCCAGTATTTAAGATTTCTCTTCTAACAATGCTTGAATCTCGGTTGTAGCTACTGGCCGTACTTGTTCTGGCTCCAGGATCACCTCCAAGAATATCAGAAGCGGTCTTTTTCTTGTTTTCAATCGAAGTGTCGATATAACCTTCAGTACCTTCACATACAGCCCAAAGGCTGCTGCATTTATAACTTTTCGACAAATCTTCAAAAAATGGCAACAGCACCTTCTATCTTGCTTCATGATTTATTTTCTTGGATGCACACCAGTCAGTGAACCGTTTTTCGTATTTAGTTTTTGATTTATCAGGGAACAATGAAGACACTAGGTTTGTTGCAGCTTCTTCTGTTTCGAAAGGCAAGCTTTCTGCTTCAGAATCACTCATTTCTCGATTGAACAACATTTTTTTTCTAAAAACTGACGCGTTGTTTACAACAAATTTGAGCGGTTGTCATAACACTGCAAAAATTCTCTTGATTCTTGATTTTTAATTAATAAAAAAATTTAATCGGCTTTTTTTCTTTTTCATTTTTGGGCAGTTGTAGATAAAGTTTTGTATTTCATACGTGGGCTAGAGCATATTACAGCAACTCGTGTGATTACAGATGACTCGGTCTAACGACCTCGTCTTCTGCAATCTTCACACTCGTAGTGCTGTAATAATGGCTCTATCCCACTAATAAGATAAATAACTATTATCATTTACTGCTTTTGATTTATTAAATCCTCGCTTTGAAACGCAGTTTTTTTATTTTCACATTTGTCAAAATGACATTTTTCTGTTATTTATGACGTTACATTTTAGAAAAAAATATATACAGTGCATCTTTTTTAAAAGCGGCCATAGGGATTCCGTGAAAGTTTAGACCCCATGTTAACTTTTGTTAGGGTGAAAACCCAGAGATAATTTTTGCGGAGAAAATAGCCTGAGGGTTCGACTTTCATTTTCACTGCCACTTTTTGCGGTATAATTTATTAATTTGTGCTTTAAAAACTAAAAATTGTTTCTGTGTTGTCGATAAGGCTTTAATGTATCCATCAATGACCATTTCTATATTTTCTTTAATTGTGTACTGCGGCATGTTGACGAATTTCGCTCACTAAAAACCAGTAATCGAACGAGTAACAACGAGTAATCAAATTTTAGAAACGTCAGTTAAATGTCTGCTTTTACATGGCTGTCTACAATATTAGCGGCAAAGATATCCAAATATTTTTATATTTTTAAAGAAATATCCTTTAATTTTGTGATAACCCAAACTTGCCGCCTTTAAATTGACCTTGAAAAGTTTGAAAGGCCCGCGAAAAATTAAAAAATTCAAAGTTTGGCCTTGGCTGTGATAGTCTAACAAATAGGAACCTACGTTGTGTGTTTTTTTTTTGTTTTTGAAAAATGGCGGGAAGACGTTCTTTCATACAAGTGAGCATATACTGCATGTGAGTTGAGAGCGCAAGAAATAATAGACAAAATTAGGGAGGTCGAAATCCTTCCTTAGGAGGAAAAGAAACGAAGAGCGAAAGGGACTCAACTTGCCCTTCTGGCGACTCCGCAGGGTCAAGGCGTCATCGGTCTTCATTCCCAAAATCCCCCTGGGGTTTTATTCACCGAAATATTACATTTCAAACACCTTATGATATATGAAAGAAAACACTCGCGAATTGACAGACATACGCATTTGAAAAACGAACAAACGCAAAATTCTATACATCTGTTTGGAATCAATGCAAATATTTGAATATCACAAATTTAATAAAACAAAGCAAAAACTGAATCAAGTAACGGGATGCAAATACACAAGTTATTACAGGCGTGTGGCGGCAGATTTTTTTTTTAAGTTACGGCAGTTAACAGGAGCACAACCAAAGTACCCCTGGGGTGTTGTAACACAAGCGGAGTTTGGGGCTACCGGTCTGGAGCTGTTCTCCTCCCACGACGGTGATTCTATCTATCGCAAAGCCTACCCCACAGGCATATCTCCATTACGAACATGTCATGCGGAACTAGGCCATTACGGTCGTCCGACCCGCAAGAGATCTCGACTATTGGTCCAAGTCGAGAAATTTACAACATCGGCGGCCGCCCCTGAATCTATCCAAACCTGTGGACTTGTACAGGTGGCACGATAAATCTTGCCAGCTCGACTAGGAACCGAACTTCGCTTCTGCCAGGTTTTCTGTGTCATTTAACCTCAATTCAATTTTAAAATATTCATTCTCTTATAACTCTGATATTAACAACAACTGAACAAGTGTTAAAGTTTCAAAGAGCAATAAACAATAGTTAAATTCGCCATACAATCTTGTGAAATTTTAAACAACAAATAATTCTTATGTGACATTAAAGATGGGACGTTATAGATATTTATTTTATTAGGAGTTTAAGTGATACTTTATGTGTCGAGTATGGACGATTAAACGCCGAGCGATAGCAAGGCGAATTAAGTCCATACGAGTCACATTGTAACGGGCGATAAATTTACTTATTTTTGGAGATGTTGGTATGAATCAGAACAATCGTCATTGTCGTAAAAATCAAGGTTGTCCTTGTGAAACTTGGATTTTATGATTTCACACCATTCTAATCAAGGTTTATAATTTCACAGTTAAATATTGGCGCCGTTTGGCTGGACACGATGTCTTTGTCCAGTTTTATAATTTCATGGTTTAAATTTGTTAATTTTAACAAAAAGCACATTTTGCCACTAAAAATCTTCATATTATAGTTAATTAAGCCTAATTTGGTGGAAACACAAATACTTTTACGACTCCCCAAATAAACTGGTAACTTGTAAACAATTTTGCGAAAACAACTCCTTTGGAGGGGTCTTTACTTATAAAACATCGAAAGATCCAAAAAAGACCAGAGTCCTCTAGCCAGTTGCCTGTTTAGTGTATGTTTGTGTTGTGACACAAGGGGGTAAGTGTTAAAATCTCCAAAAATGTGCACGATTTCTTAAAAAGTTCAAAGTTTTGTTTTTATTAATATTTTTAAAGTTCAATTTAATTTTGATGATAAATCGCCCTTTGTATTCTCGATTGGATAACGTTTTGAGATTTAGATCTATTTTTAAAGATTAATTTGCATTGAAATTATTAGTTAAACAGTTATATTGTTTGATGAACGCTGACCACGCAACTACTATAATGTTCCTTACCAAATTTTTCAGTTGTTACCAAATTTTTCAGTTGTTACCAAATTTTTCAGTTGTTACTAAATTTTTCAGTTGTTACCAAATTTTTGATTTGTTACAAATGTTTGAGTTGTTACAAATTTTGAGTTATGGTACCAATTTTAAGTTTTGTTATATTTTTGTTTTAGATTTTTTTTAAATGTTTGTTTTATTATGCTTTCAAAGATTTAGTTTCAAATTTATAAGGTTTTCTTGAATTTATTTAAAAATGTTTTAATACTGAAGTTCATTTTCTGATAATTATATTTGCATATTAAACTACACTACAATTTATTGTTATACCAAATTATTCTCATATGACTAAATCTCTTTTGTACATACTCATTTCTAAATTATAGTAGCCTGCATAGATATTGTAGCCGTCCATAGAGTCGAAATTTGCGAATAAAAATAAAATAAAACCGGCTCAAACGGAGCCGACGACCGCTTGCAAGTTCTGTCACTACGGCACGCGTCGTATCACACAGGGGTGTATTTAAGACCGATTGCACAAAATCTTAGGGTCACTGTAATCTTACTATTTTCTATCTACGACAAACGATTTGTCACACAGCTACGAAACCCACGATCTAGAGAAAGATGGAAGTGTGAAAATGTATTTCAACAAGTGTAATAACCGTTTGGTGCAACGCAATTGGTTCAAGCAAACTAAAATATGACAGGAAACAAACAGTCCACGTGGACTAGTTTATACCCGCGTTTGCTGCTAAGATGATCAGGTTTTTCGCTCCACCTACCTCCGCAACGATGAATATACCATACCACAACTTGTTTACAGTGAACAGAGCTTCGTTTTTATTGACGAGATTGAGCTAAGAAATGAAACAGATTATATCATAACGGAAAAGATGACATTTAATATTAAATACGTCTCTGTGCAACGTGTGCCAGAGTGATGTCAGAATTTGCAAGCCACCGTCGGCTCCGTTTGAACCGGTTTTATTTTATTTTTATTCGCA